GAAGGTCAGGATGCTCTCTATGGAGCACCTGAAGAAGGTCAGGATGCTCTCTATGGAGCACCTGTAGGTCAGGACCCTCTCTATGGAGCACCTGTAGGAGGTCAGGATGCTCTTTATGGAGCACCTGTAGAGGTCAGGATGCTCTTTATGGAGCACCTGAAGGTCAGGATGCTCTCTATGGAGCACCTGTAGAAGGTCAGGATGCTCTCTATGGAGCACCTGAAGAAGGTCAGGATGCTCTTTATGGAGCACCTGAAGGTCAGGATGCTCTCTATGGAGCACCTGTAGAAGGTCAGGATGCTCTCTATGGAGCACCTGTAGAAGGTCAGGATGCTCTCTATGGAGCACCTGTAGGTCAGGATGCTCTCTATGGAGCACCTGTAGAAGGTCAGGATGCTCTCTATGGAGCACCTGTACCTGAACCTCCTCAGCCTGCGGAGGAAGAAGAGCCGCTGTCGAGCTTTCTTGGTGATGGTGTGAAGAGTCCATGTCAGGTCCTCAGTGATGAGTCCATGTCAGGTCCTCAGTGATGAGTCCATGTCAGGTCCTCAGTGATGAGTACATGTCAGGTCCTCAGTGATGAGTCCATGTCAGGTCCTCAGTGATGAGTCCATGTCAGGTCCTCAGTGATGAGTCCATGTCAGGTCCTCAGTGATGAGTCAGGTCCTCAGTGATGAGTCCATGTCAGGTCCTCAGTGAAGAGTCCATGTCAGGTCCTCAGAGATGAGTCCATGTCAGGTCCTCAGTGAAGAGTCCATGTGAGGTCCTCAGAGATGAGTCCATGTCAGGTCCTCGGTGAAGAGTCCATGTGAGGTCCTCAGTGAAGAGTCCATGTGAGGTCCTCAGTGATGAGTCCATGTGAGGTCCTCAGAGATGAGTCCATGTCAGGTCCTCGGTGATGAGTCCATGTCAGGTCCTCAGTGATGAGTCCATGTCAGGTCCTCAGTGATGAGTCCATGTCAGGTCCTCAGTGATGAGTCCATGTCAGGTCCTCAGTGATGAGTCCATGTCAGGTCCTCAGTGATGAGTCCATGTCAGGTCCTCAGTGATGAGTCCATGTCAGGTCCTCAGTGATGAGTCCATGTCAGGTCCTCAGTGATGAGTCCATGTCAGGTCCTCAGTGATGAGTCAGGTCATGAGTCAGGTCCTCAGTGATGAGTCCATGTCAGGTCCTCAGAGAAGAGTCCATGTCAGGTCCTCAGTGAAGAGTCCATGTCAGGTCCTCAGTGATGTGGACACAGAGGAACCTGAAGCTGCTGACTCTCTCCACCGTAGTCCCATTGATGGCGATG